AAAATTATAAAAATCTTTAAATTTAATTAGAGTTGAAAATTTATTTCATTAATGTATATAACTCTGATTTTCTCTTCTATAATTATTTACCTGATTTTCTCGTTCTTTCGCAATACGTTGGTTCATAACGATGAATGTAAAGTTCAGGTAGTGTAACATCTGGATTCTTATCAATTGCATCATTTTTGTTTGAAAACCATTCAAATCGCACAGTTTTTAATGGATATGAAACTAAAATCATGTTATATGTAAATTGTATTACAACTATTTTTCATCAAAATATTATCAATTAGATTTATTTGGAAGTTGCTCAAATCCTATAGTTTTTAATGGATATGAAATTAAAATCAAAATATTATCAGTTAAATGTAAAGGAGAATTTCAGGAATGTATACTTGGCTTTATTACCTGAATTTAATTCTTGACTTTATTGCTTAAATTTAGAAAAAAAACAAGTTGTTTATCTTTAACTTCATTATTAATAAGGATAGTAGTTTCAAAATACACTTACATGATTTAATTCGTAATTCACACGTTTGTTTATCGTGTGGATATTTGCAAAGCACAAGATTACATGATGGCTTTAATTTTATTCTGGAATAAAAAAAAAAAGTGCAATTCGTTAATTGATAACAAACATTGCCATGAATTGATCATAGTCATTTACTTCTAAAGTTGTACTAAAGCTAACGCAGTAACGATAACAAAGTTAACATTTATGTTAATTTACAGTTGCGGAAATAATCGAAGAGACAAAACCTTGTTTCGTAGAGTACTAAGCCATCATTATAAATTCGCATCAAAAAATTGAGAAAAGTAACTTCATGAAATGAAGCTTCTTTAGCATTAGCAAAAAATGGATCAGGCCGCCAAATTTTTTCTAAAATTTCCTCTTCTTTAACAAGAATAGCTTTCTCATATGGATTTACCAGTCGCGCATCACGCCATGCCATTATCAGAAAGATATCCATATCATAGTCCTATTAATCAAGTAAGTAAGAGAATTACTCTATCTCATACAATTTTATATTTATAACTTAAACAACGATGATATTTGATTGAATAATAAGGAATAAAATTTATTAATTTTCAATATTAAAATTTAACACTTCATAAAATTTAAAAATTCAAGATTTTTCAAATAACATCTATTGATTATTGTTAATTTATCAGTATAACTTCAGTTTATCATTGGACTATATCGTTTTTTTTTTGTAAATAAAATCAAATGAAAAGGTAACCATAGTAGAAGTTTGAAAATTACTCATCGATTCAATATAAATTCCAAAACGAACAACTACCGCACTACCTTGAAAAACGATAGGTGCAGAAAATGGATCATATTTATTCTTTTGAAGAACTGGTAAAATAAATGAACCACCGAGTGTTCTGAAATTTATGAATTTCTACATTTACATTTTCTTTAAAGAAAAAAATTTGATGCTTTTTAAATCAGCATTTCTAAAATCTGGTTATTTCGATATAATATAGTTAATATTAAAAGTTAATGAAAAAAGATCTAAACAGTTTTTGAATCTACTCTTCTCTATTACTCAAATTTAGCTCTTCAATTAATGCAAATATTGATTTTCTCCAACATTTTTATAT